CTGGCTCCGCGCTCGCTCCCTCGCTCGCTCCCTCTCACACGCGTGGAGGGAGGCGAAGCCCGCACCAGCAGCAGCCACTTCCCAACTTTCCAAACTTCACAACGCAACTTTTTCCTCTCCACCCCTGCCGGCTCCTTCTCCGCCCTCTTCCCTCCTCCCTCTTTTCCATCGCCAGCCCGCAGTAGCTCCCGAGCGCGGCCGCCAGAGGGAGCCTGGCCTGATGGAGGCATGGAGGACAGAGTGGACCTCAGGCTCCGCGGAGTGTGGCCACTGCCCAGGCAGCTGCAAATTTGAGGACTTAAACCAGCCTCTTTGAATACGTCTGCGAGTCCTGACCAGAATAAGCAGGCAGAGGGGCAGGAATTGGGAAGTCAGTTCTAGAATAGCAGGGAATGCGACAAGAGACCTAGGCAAGGCGGTATTACAACTTTGTGTCATGCTGCTTGGCCTAACACTGACGTTTGTTTCATAGGCACTCGGCAAACACTCTCTGAACTAAAACATTTTTAAAGAACAGAAAATAACTATCATCAAAATTTCTTGGACCAGTTTATTTAGCCAGTTGTCTCCCACCTGTTTCCCTGGGTCCATGTAGAATCACACTGTGTGGCTGTGGAAGGGTAAAAATTCATGTCCATTTCTTAGACCACAGGAATTAAAAGACTCCTGTAAATCAACCCTGTTTTGTCCTAGGAGGCATAGGAGGTTTAAATAACAACAAGGACAAGACCCAGCCTTCTGACCATTCACAGCAAATGGGGACACAATCATGGCACCCCTGTTAGTTCTGTTAAGTAAGGTTACTGTGTTCTGGCATCAGAGGTTAAAGCACGAATTAGATGATATCAGGAATGTACAGGCAGACATGGACAGATATTCAAAGAAACATTTAAAGTACAGTGACACCAGAAGCACAAGGAGATAGAGGCAGAAACAGCTCCTAACAGCTGGAGTCAGGGAAGAACCCTGGAAAGTGGTCTTGAATAGTAACTAAGAGAAGTAACTGCAGGAGGTCCTCCAGGTAGAGCAGCAGGTGCCAGGTGAAAAGGCACAAGCCCTTCCCAGACTGCCTAGTGGAAGTAGATTAGGAGTTGAAACTGTGTCGTTTGCTTGGGAACATCTCTACTTACAGGGTGCATGGGTTGAGGGAGCAAATTGGAGACAGGCGCATCAGTGGGGAGCCAAGGCCTGATCCCAGATCTTCTAACTCCCAGCTCAGTGATCACTCCACTTCTCCCACTCATGCCTTGGAGCAGCTGTAGAAAGGCTTGCACAGAGTTTGAGTGAGGAAGAACAGCTTGGTGGAGAAAGGCTCTGGGAACCCATGATGATAGCAACTGAAGAGCATCATAAGTGAAAGAAGTGAACACTGGAGACTGCCGGTTGAACCCCACAAGTCAGGGAAAATGCCACTTTTATAGGTTGAAAATGAATGAATGTTAGTAGTTTCCTACAGTTCAACCGCTCTGCCTCTCAGTGACTTGTCAGTCATGTGGACCTTTACCTGGTGCTGAGCAGGCCAGAGTGCCCAGGATGTAGGACACCAGTGTAACCCTACTGCCCCTATGCAGAGCTCTGAGAGCTGCATTTGTAACCAAAGAGAAGTTCTTGGAAGAAATCACCTCCACTCAGACCCTCAAACTTCCTACAAGGCCCCCAGTTCCCTTGGTAGGAACAGAGTGAATTAGATGGGATGTGAGAATTAATTCCACTGAGAAGGAGAAGTGTCTTCACTGGGGAATTAAAAGACTCATGGCAGATTTAGAAAAGGATAAAAAAGAAACAAATCAAGTTAAAAAATGACTCTGTGTGTGTGTGTGTGTGTGTGTGTGTGTGTGTGTGTGCGTGTGTGTGTCTATATGTTTTTTTTTTTTTTTTTGGTCTCTTTGAGACAGGGTCTCCCTGTAGCCCCAGCTGTCTTGGAACCACCACTATGTAGACCAGGCTGGCCTTGAACTCACAGAGATCCGCCTGCCTCTGATGATGGTAGTTTTTAAAAATCTTCGCTCCTGAAGCCAGACATAGTGACACATGCCTTCAATCCCAGCACTCAGAAGGTAAAGGCGGGCAGATCCCTGAGTTTGAGGCCAGCCTGGTTTACATAGTGAGTTCCAGGCCAGCTGAAGCAACAGGGAGACCCTGTCTCAAAAAGACCAAAAAGCAAGCAAGCAAGCAAGCAAGCAAACAACAACAAAAATCTTCCCTCCTTCATCCCTCCTGTATTTCAAACAAAAGTTCCCTCATATCTTTTTTCCCTAAAAGATAAAGATTTGGGCAGCTGTCAAGAGTGAATGCTATAAGTTCATGACCTCACAGGAAATGATGTAAACAGGCAGAACGATCAACTTCTCGGAGCCTGTCTTTCTCCAGCCTGCTTCCTGGCCTTCTCACTGTCTTTCAGTAAGTCAGTGTGTGCTATAAGGCTTTAGGCGCTTCACCCGTATTGCACTGGTGTTAATGAAATACGAGAACAAAGTTTTCAGTCCAAGAGAACTGAAAACATACATCCACACAATCCCCTGCATGTCAATGCTCACAGAAACATTTTTCACAATAGTCAAGAGGTGGAAATAAACCAAATGTCTATCAGCTAGTGAATGGATAACCAAATGTGGCATGTCAATACATCGGCCTCTGTACCTTAAAGATGTACAATTCTTTTAAAATGAGGCATATTCAGAATAGAATATTATTTGGCTATAGAAAGGGCTGAAGTGGCCAAATATACAGAAGCAGAAAACAAGTTAGTGGTTACCTAGAACTAAGTCGCACAGGGAACTCAGGGAGCTATAGCAAAAGAGTTTTGGGTTTCCTTTAAAGCAGTGAAAATATTCTAAAATGGTGATGGTTGCAAAATGGTGAATAAACTAAAAGGAAAAACATATTAAATAGGTGAAGTATATGATGTACAAATTATATTTTGTGAAACTGTTATCAAACACCTCCCCCACCAAGAATATGGGTTTCAGTGTGTTTTTTAAATATTTATTTTATGTGATGTGTATTTCTGTCTGTTAGCCAGAAAAGGGTGTTAGATACCCTGAACCTAAATGGAATTACCGGTTATGTGCTACCCTTTGTAGGTGCTGGGAACTAAACTTGGGTCTTCCACAAGAGTAGTATGCAGTCTTACCCACGGAGTCATCTCTCCAGCCTGGTTTCAATGTTTTAAAACAACATTTCTCCCACCTAGTCTTATGAGAAAAGACTTGGGTGGTGCTAAGTCTTAGAGATTGAGTCACTTGGGTAGTTACAGTGACCTGTCTGGACATGACGATGAACTGAATGACCAGCAAGCTGGTGAAATGACTAACTTAGGGGCCTCTGTACCCAACACTAGAGCTGGAGTTCATGCCCCTTGCCAGTCCATGGTGAGAAAGTGCTCAAGAGTGGGCAGTGGATGCAGACTCTAGTCTGTTCTGCCCCAGGGCACATACAGCCCACTTTTATTACATCTTAAGTTGTTCAGTCATAATGGTACCAGGAATCTGTAAGCTGTAACAGCAAGGGCAGAGACAGAAAGAAGCCTTGTAGCATAACTAAAACAACAAAAGTCAGCCTCAGGAACTTCTCCAGGCTGAAGTGTCCCTTCCAGGGTGAGAGATGAGGGACTTTGCTGCTGTCCCAAAGGAAGAGCTTTGCTCTGAGCCTGAGGACTGCCCTCTTGGCAGCGATTGCTTGGGCCACTAACCAGCCTGGCATTCTCAAATGGGCACAGACTAGCTTTAGGCTCTGACTCCTATATGCAGTATACATCTCCTAATCCCAAGCTCTGTGTTCTCTATCCCTAGCCTTGGTTTCAAGTTGGTCCTTGGTGAATGAAAGACAAGATTGCCTACTGGGTGAGGGAGAAAGGAAGCAGACTGTAAAGCCCAACAGAAGCATACAGTGTTGAAGACAGTGCAGAGTGAGAGAAGGAAAAACAAAAATGCAGACACTGAGATGACTGGGCCAAGGGCATTCCCTACATAAGTAAGTAATAGGCTCACGGCCACAGAAGCATGCTAAATAGGATGGCATTCATTAAAAACAACAGTACTGTAACTACCGTAGCATAATCCAATGGGAAATGTTGGTTGCAGAGGAATAAGCCCCAGTTTCTGCCCTCAGGGAGCCTGCCACCCAGTGGGGGTGACAGAGATGCAAAGAAAAGGAAAAGGAAACAAACAGAAAGGCAAATAGGACCAACCAGGGCAGACTTAGGTGAGGAGAAGCACAAGAGCAGAGGTCTTTGCCAAGAAGGAGATGTTGGGATAGAGTTAATCTTTTTTAAAAAAAAAAAAAAATTATTGAGCTTTTGTACATATCATACAACAGTTATTAATCAAATTGCAACTCTCTCCCCCATCCATGCCTCCGCACTGTCCACCAGACCTCATGTATTCCACCATACCAGTTAAGTCCTATTCAGTCAAGCATCTGTACGCAGATGTTCTTCAGTGCAAATTCATCCACTGGAGTCTAGTTAGCCTATCTAGATATCATTGATAAGGCTACTCTCCCTCACCCAGTAGTAATCAGTCTCCAATAGGGCCGACCCACCACCCATTTCCCTGGCTCCACTCTGGGCCCTTGTCTGATTTGAGTTAGCATGGGTCCTGTGTTTGATGCCACCACTGCCACAAGTTTACATGTGCAAGCTTCCAGTGGCCTGAAAGCCTCTGCCTCCCTATGTTCATGGACCAACCTTGGCTCTGACAATCTTTCCTCCCCTCTTCCACAATGGTCCCGGAGCTGTGGGTGGGAGAGGTCTGATATAGGAGTCCTATCCAGGGACACACACTCTGCAGTC